CACCCACAAATAGTCAAGGATCTTCCTCTTCTCTCTCACAAAGCGCTCACAGACTCTTTAGGGTTCTCTCTGGAGTTGGTGGCCGCAAATGACGGCTATAAGCCCCCTTAAATAGGTCTCATACCCCAGAAATTAGGGTTTCATTAAACAGCGTGGACTCGCCGAGTCCACTCCTTGGACTCGCCGAGTCCGGATGCGAACCCGCGTCCAAACCGCGATCCTACTCGGCGAGTTTGAGCTCCAACTCGCCGAGTCCATTCACAATTCTCCAAAAATACAATAATAATAAATACCTGGGAATCCGGGCTGTTACATCTATCCTTCTACAACCCTTCCATCACGTAAAATGGCAAACTTTACGTTAATCCAAAGAGATCTAGGCATTTTACACTCTAGGGCTAGGGTTTGGGACAAGATGGCTTCACCAATCACTCAATAACAGGGAATTTAATGCACTCTAGACCTTCTCCATTCCAGATCTGAGGTAGCAACCTCAGATCTAACTTTCAAACTCTATATACCACTAGCCAAACTTTCCATACAACCCAAAAATGATGAATCTACATGAATAGCAGCCCAAAAACAAGATAATACCTCAAAGAGAAACCCCCAACAGCAAGGAATCTGAATCTAAGCAAAGCCCCTTGCTCCAAGCTTCCTAACTCTCCAAGATCTTCCTCCAACTTTCTTCTCCGAGGCTCCAGCTTTTGGACTCGCCGAGTTGGCCACTTAACACGCGACCTGAGTCGCGACCCTACTCGACGATTTCACCCATGGACTCGCCGAGTTGCCCTTCACATTTACACTTTGAACCCCGAACTTTCACTCCTGGACTCGAGATGTTACATAAGTACTTGTCCTAGTTACCACCAAAATCTAAGACACATGCATGAAACATATCTTCCACTGTTTGGATTGTTCTCTCCGTTTGAATGTCTATATGGGGATGATAAGTTGTACTGAGAGAAAATCGAGATCCCAATTCACGTTGCATACTCGCCTAAAAATGAGAAGTGAAGCGAGTATCACGATCTGAAATAATCTTTAGTGGCACACCATGTCTCACAATAATTTCATCTAAGTATACTTGTGCATATTTCTCCATTGGAGCCGTTTCACGCATGGCAAGAAAATATGCGCTCTTAGTCAGCCGGTCGACAATTACCCAAATGCTATCATTCTGTCTAGCAGTCTTTGGCAATTTGGTAATAAAATCCATGGACTAGTCTTCCCATGTCCACACAGGAATAGTAAGACTTTCTTGAATTTCGTAAGGCTTTTGGTGTTCTACTTTGACTTTTAAACATACTAAACATTCCTGCACATATTTTCCAATGTCTTTCTTTAATCCATGCCACCAATAATCAACCCGTACATCAAAGTACATTTTACTTGTACCAGGATGTATTGACAGTTTAGACTTATGGGCTTCATCCATAATCTTCTGTCTTGATCCACCAATCTTTGGAATCCATAGCCGATTCTTAAATTCCTTCAATCCTCATGGATCATCAAGTAAAGCATCAGTATACTGTATCATCCCTTCTTTCTTCACATTTTCTAGCTTTAAGGCCTCTACTTGCCATTTCTCTAGTTCATCAAGAATAGTGAACTTTACTGTAGTGTGAGCAATAATATAACACATACTATTACGATAAACTTTTCTGCTAAGAGCATCAACAACTACATTGGCCTTTCCAGGATTATACAAGATTTCACATTCATAATCTTTGATCAACTCCATAGCTCATTGTTGTCTTATATTCAGAGTTTGATGACTGAATATATACTTGAGACTTTTGTGGTCGGTAAACAATTGGCATTTTGTACCAAATACCACTGCAACGAGTTCAAGTTCATGAGTGGGATAATTCTTTCGTAATCTTTCAATTGTCTTGAGGCATAGGCTATCACTTTACCACGTTGCATCAACACACAACCGAGTCCTAAACTAGACGTATCGCTATATACGGAGAAATCATTATCACTTTCTGGAAGTGATAAGATTGGAGCAAGAGTCAAAAGATCATTTAAAGTTGAGAAAGCTTTTTCTTGGGCTTCACTCCATTCAAAATTTGTTTCCTTTTGTGTAAGACTTGTGAGAAGTACAACTATACGTGAGAAATCTTTAATGAATCTCCGGTAATACCCCGCGAGACCCAAGAAACTACAAATTTCAGAAGCATTACGAAGTGCACTGAATGGCTTCGATTTTGGTAGGATCTACGGATATACTGTCACCAGAAATCACATGGCCAGGAAATTGAATTTGGAGATGCCAAAATTCACATTTGGAGAATTTAGCATATAGTTTCTCCTTTCGAAGAAGTTCTAATATTTCACGAATATGAATGACATTATCAACTTCATATTTGGAATAAATTAGAATATCATCATTGAATACGATGATAGATTTATCGAGCATTGGGCAACATACGCGATTCATCATATCCATGAATGTAGTAGGAGCATTTGTCAAACCGAATGGCATGACAATGAATTCAAAATGCCCATATCGAGTACGGAAAGTAGTCTTCGATACATCCAGATTGTGTACTTTCAACTGATGATAGCCAGATCTAAAATCAATCTTCGAGAAATAGCTAACACCCTAAAGTTGATCAAACAAATCGTCAATGCGAGGTAGTGGGTACTTGTTCTTGATAGTTACCTTATTTAGCTCACGGTAATCAGTACACATTTGCATCGAATTGTCCTTCTTCTTGACAAACAAGACTGGAGCACCCCAAGGAGAGGTACTCAGTCAAAAAAGCCTTTGTCAAGTAATTCCTGCAGTTGGATCATCATTTCTTTCATTTCAGCTAGCACAAGACGATAAGGAGTCTTTGCAATCGTAGTAGCACCAGACACAAGGTCAATTCGGAATTCTACTTGCCTATCCGGAGGAAGTCCAGACAATTCTTCGGGGAAAACATCATTGATGTGACATAGACCTCCGACGAGTCTTCTGGTCTTCTGCTGCAGCAGAGATCTGTTAGTCACAATCAGAGAGACGCGTTAGAGCCGTCCCACGGACTGTACCCCGGGAGCGGACTACGACGGTCAAGATAGATCATCTGGCAGATTTGAGATGGTCCTCCATAGCTGGAGAGAACCATCTTGGTGTTGGTGCTGGGGGTAGTGGCTGATGGCGACATGTGGCGGTTGAGCCACCCGGTCGGAGTATAGTGTGGCGGCTGATCCAAGGGGAAGGTCACTCTCCATGGAGGAGGTATTGTTCATTATATAGGGGACAACTAGGTCAAGGGAAATTAGGACAGGCCTTGGACCAACCCAATTCAGGCCCAACTAGCAAGGAGCTGGGCAAGGCCTCCCGGAGGCGTCGGGCGGGGTTAGCGGGCGCGCACCAGGAAGGGATGACAAGGGAGTGCCAGGCGAGGGAGTGCCTGGCCAGGTCGGCAGGAGAGTCCCCAGCAGAGCTGGCAAAGGAGCACCAGGCAAAGCTGATAAGGGAATGCCAGGCAGGGCTGATAGGAGCGCGCCAGGCTAGGCTGGCGCGCTAGAGCAGTCTAGGCCATGCCAGTGGACCATGTCTCATCAAGTTCCTTAGTCTGGTGTTATTGTTACGCAGCCAATGACATTGGACTAGACTTAGTCGGATAAACCAATAGGAGAGTCCCTAGCGGGGCTGGCAAGGGAGTCCCCGACAAGGTTAGCAGGAGCGCATCAGGCCAGGCTGGCGCGCTAGAGCAGTCTGGGCCATGCTAATGGACCATATATCATCAATTCCCCCCAATCTGGTGTTATTGGTATGCGACCAATGATATCGGATTGGACTTAGTCATATAAACTGTGCGTCGTCAAGTCCCCCTAGTCTGATGCGATTGGGTTGTTGACAATCGGATCAGACTAGATAAAGCACCAAAGCATTTAAATAATAAAGAGAAATGACCGACCCTCGCCCACGAGAGCCGTGGGGTTGTGCGACGTTCCAAACACTGCTTGAGCTGACTTGATACTCCTTCATTGAGAGGAGTGCGAGCCGGTCGGTGAGATGCAACATAATTGTTGCTGCGATCATGCAGACTGAGGCTACTAAAGAGTGTTACATGACACTGATGTCGGTGGAATGTCGGAAAGGGGTAGCTAAGAAGTCTAAGCTTGCCATTCAGTCCCTGAGACTGTTATCCGACGTGATTGTTGAGGTAGCCATGTGAGATGGGATGTCACCAGTAACCATCTACATAGTTTGCATTAATAACCATCTTGAGGATCTTTCTTGCTCGGGCTACACCTAGCTGGATTGCAGCGTACCAACCCTATTCCCCCCCTCTCTTTGAGGAGGTGAGGAATAGATTCCGAGAGCTGGGCGACTAGGTTGCTAGCGAGGGTCACGTAGTAAGACTATTGTCGATAGCCAAACAACAGAATTCTTGAGGAATAAGTAGTAAGGCTATAGGTAGGAAACATGCAGTGAGACTGTTGCTGAGAACCAGGTAGTAGAGGTGCGAAGGGATAAGCGGTGAGGCTACAGGTAAGGTTGTGCAGCGAGACCATTTCCAATAGCCAGGAAACAGAGATGTTGTGGGGTACGCGGCTAGGCTACAGGTCGGGTTACGCAACAAGACCGTTTCCGAGAGCCAGGAAACAGAGATGTTGTGGGGTACGCGGTTAGGCTACAGGTCGGGTTACGCAGCAAGACTGTTTCCAAGAGCCAGGAAACAGAGATGATGTGGGGTACGCGGTTAAGCTACAGGTCGGGTTATGCAGCAAGACCGTTTCCGAGAGCCACGAAACAGAGATGCTGTAGAGTCGTAAGTAGCAAGGCCACTGTTAGGATGACCTTCTTGCTGGAGAGTATCCTCACTATAGCAGGTTGTAATGTGGATAACACTTCATCGATCGTCCGAGCACAAGAGAGTCGTGATGACTGTGAGATAGGAAACACCACGATTATGGTGTTGGTCGTGGAATAAGCTTGTGATGAGCTACTTATGATGCGCGAATTAGGATAATAGCTTAGGCTTAGCAGTCAATGATCATGGAGGTGTCATGCGGGAAAGCCTGGCGTGTAACAGATCGGTTTTGGCTGCTAACGATCGTAGATAGATCGCTCGAGAGAGCGTCGCGTGGAATGTATCGGGCTTGGATGCCAGTGATCGTAGATACATCACACGGGAAAGCATCGTGTGGAATGGTCGGAGCATGTTGCTATAATGGAGTCGGGCTGAGAAGCCAAACAACTTGAGGTGAGGGTGCTGAACCTCGTATGCGGAGCGTGCCACTATAATGGAGTCAGACAGAGAAGCCAAGCGACTCGAGGCGAGGTACTGGACCTCGCATGTAGAGCTTGCCTCTATAATGGATTCGGGCTGAGAAGCCAAACGACTCGAGGCGAAGGTGTTGAACCTCGCATGCGGAGCTTGCCGCTATAATGGAGTCAGGTTGAGAAGCCAGGCGACTCGAGGTGAGGATGCTGAACCTCGCATGCGGAGCTTGCCGCTATAATGGATTCGGGCTGAGAAGCCAAACGACTCAAGGCGAGGGTGCTGAACCTCGCATGCAGAGCTTGTCGCTATAATGGAATTGGGCTGAGAAGCCAAACGACTCGAGGCGAGGGTGCTGAACCTCGCATGCGGAGCTTGCCACTATAATGGAGTCGGGCTGAGAAGCCAAGCGACTCGAGGCGAGGGTGCTGAACCTCGCATGCGGAGCTTGCCACTATAATGGAGTCGGGATGAGAAGCCAGGCGACTCGAGGCGAGGGTGCTGAACCTCACATGCGGAGCTTACACCTATAATGGAGTCGGACTGAGAAGCCAAATGACTCGAGGCGAGGGTGCTGAACCTCGGACGACTGGGCATAACACCTTACAATCTATGTGTCTAGCTCGTGTGACCAGTATGGGTTAAAGCGGAATGGTACCTGATGCTTTGCTACCTCGCTAGTCTTACTAATAATTGAGGCCTCGGTGTCTTGGCTGATTGCGGAGAGCTATATGGCAGTACTACTTAGAGCTTGAAAGTGTAGCTACTATTAAGAGGTACGTAGCGAGACTGCTGTCAGGAACCGGTCAACAGGACCGTCGAGGCCCGGGCAACGAGCTGCTAGCGATAGGTGAGCAACACGACTGTTGAGAGCTGGGCAACGAGATTACCAAGGGTTGAACCACGGGGTTGCTCTTTCGACCCGGGATATTAACACCACTTCAGGGATGCACTATCACAAAGTATTAGCTCTTTGTGTACTTCAACTATGCCCTTTTGGAATGAAAATCACTCCTGCATAGTGTTGTACCGACTCTATCCCTCCCTTCTCTTTTTTTCTTTAGAGGAGGCGAAGACGGATGTATAGTCGCTTAAAGGCGAGATACATAGTTGCTGGAAAGAGCTAGACGACCCAAGTACTAAAAAAAACTGGGTGGCACGCGGCTGCCGAGGGCTAGGCAGCGCGACTGCGGGATGTCAGCCAACACGGCTGATGAGAGCTAAGTAGTGAGACTTCATGGAGCTGGTCAACGCGGATTCTAATAGCCAGGTAGTGCAGTTGTTGAGGGTTATTTCGAGATGCTTTTAGAAGTGCCGAATGAACCTGACCACAAAACATCTTATGAAATTGGATTTTTCTAGGTTAAATCGTTAGCAAGAAAGCGCTAAGTATATGACCGGCCAAAATTATTTTGCACTACTAACCCATATTTTGTTGTTGGGGTAGTCCATAAAAGAAAAGACTTGAAAGGAGCCCAAAATAAAAATGTTTGAGCCCAATATGAATTTAGGAGCCTAATTGCGAATCCATAAGCCCAATTTCTTCTCTCATATTCCTTTTTTTTTAGAAAATATCAAGTGGTCCGGGCCGCAACGCATATTCTGAAAACATTTTTGTTGAGCGGGGCCTTCAACACGTGAGCGTTGAGCGGTTACTCTTTGTTTTGTAAAGTTGGTGGGCTATATGTATTTTTAGATAATATAGCCCATTAAATTGCATAGGAAAACACCAAGGCGATTTTGTTGTGATTTGGAAGAGATTCGTAATTCAAATTATGATGACCCTGCTTGCGAATTATTGGTCCAATGCTAATTTTTTTTTGATTGAACAGCCCAAAATAAATACGAGTCCAAATTATTAGCCCAATCTAAAGTTGCTGGACGTGGGAGCCCAAATTGGTTATAAGAAAAACCCATTTTTTTTTAAAACGAGATGCAGATAAAAAGTCTTCCATATTTGGGCCCGTCAACATTTTTTGTTTGAAGTGTATTGTATAGGTTAGCCAAACATTTAATTCTTTCTCTTTTTTTTGAAACGTAGACACGCGATGGGTGGACCATTTAATTTTTGAAATAGCCCAATACAACGAAAATGCCTGTTCTAATTTCTATGGGAAGACCGTATGTAACTGTAAGCCCACTTAGCTAATGACCGGCCCCTTTTTATTTTATCTTATTCTGTTTGCGAACTATAAGGGCTTTGGGGTGTTGTGCTTTCTTATTAGTTGAAGACAACAAAGGATCTTCCGGCCGTTCTTTGTACAGTCTATCAAAGTGGGCGTCAAAAAGAAAACCGACGACCACTCGCGGGAGTTCGTCGCCTGAGAAAGAGATCGGAGCAGCAAGATTGTCGACGACGCAAGCTTAGTGGGTCGATGGGAAATGACACAATGGTTGGAGTTGCTGTTGCATGAGGGTCGATGGTTGATGGTGCAGTTCAGAAACAGAGACGATCCGAGATGGCGACCAGGTTCTAGCCGTCGGAACCTGACCGGCCAGGTGGTGCTGTTGTTGCAGAAAGATCGAAGGGTTCTGGTTGCTCACCGGGAATTTACGAGCTTTTAGGAAAAATATTATTTTTACGATTTTAAGTCTTTGTTCACAGTAGACATAAATAGGATTCGCCATTTCAATAGGAATGCGTACCATCTTTACGTAGAACAAGAGTTCTGCGTGGTTCTTTGACAACCAATCCATGCCGAGAATAATATCAAAGTTGGGCAAGGAGATAGGAATCAGGTTAGCAAGAAAACTATAGCCTTTAATTTCTATGACGCAATCCCTATAGACTTTATCAGCAAGTAATGATATACTTCATGCAATATCTATATGAAATGGTTACGCGAGTGTATAGTAAGAAATTTGAAAGGAATGCGCAAATTTATGAGACACAAAAGAATCTGAGGCACCATAATCAAATAAGAAGTAAGTCGTTCTAGAGTTGACTAGAAGTATAACAGTCTCAACATTCGGGTCTTCACGTGTCTCCTCAATGGGGGACATTTCGCCTCTTCTTTTGAAGATTCTCCGGTGGCTTTCTCTTTGCCTTTATCATTATTCTTCTTATGTTCTTCGAGAGACTGTCGAATAACGCCAATAAGTTTTTGACAGAGCACCATCATACCACTCGTCGTGGTTTCATTTGTAATGTTGAAAGTAACGCTCTTTGACAGCGACAAGGTAATAACCTCCCTATATTTCTTGTCCTTTAAGTTCTACACATCTTCATTAAGTTTTTCCATCTTCTCCGTCTTGTCCCCAAGTACCACATCCAAGTCTTTTGACATATCAATGCTTCTACATGCATTTTCCACAAAATAAAATCAGAACCATTGAACTTCTCGATTACATACTTGTCTTCAACCATTACAACAAAAAAAGAGACAACTCGAGATAGTAAAATAGAGACAACAATGGCACGGGCTTGAACTTGACAGTCGATATGCTCATTTCGTTCAATGAATTCGTGTATGACAGAAAACCCGATCATGCCTCCCAAACCAAGAAAAAACAGTGGCGACGACAAAGTCGAAACAACAATTATTGAATTTTAACAACCAAAGAAAACTGACAGATATGACAATCGTATATTACCCTCCAAACACCAGAACCTCGCTCTGATACCGGTTGTTAGGAATCGGATAGGGTACAATGCAACAAAATTACTATCAAACACACACGAAAGCAAAAAATAAAGCAAAATATAGGACAATGATTTTACGTGGTTCGGATTTGGTGTAAATCCTACATCTACGAGCTACAACTAGGTTTCTTGTAACATTTTGACTCCCAGGTAAAATATTTATATATTTAATTATCATATTAACCAAGCAACTCAACGAGTTGGATGCCTCAACTCATCAAATAGAGACGAATTGGCCACGTGGGTTTTATGACCAACTCGATGAGTTGGCGCTGTGAGAGGAAACCTAAATCTCGAGTGTTGGGTCCTATTTGAAGGACCTTAAACCCTTATTTCCACCTCACCAGCCACCTTACACCCCCTGAGTGAAACCCTAATCTTCTATATCGAGCAAAGAAAGAAATAGAGCTACTCTTTGGCATTTTAGTGAATTATTTGAAGAGAAGAGAAGTGCATCAAAGTAAAGAACGAGAAGGGACTGTTTGATCTAGTGTTATTTCATCCATAGCTTCTGTTGAAGGTAAAAAGTCTTCACCTTTCTCATTATGTTGATTAGATCTCATGTTTATAGAAGTTTTAGGGCTTTTTTTCCATCTTTCCTTGAGACTTTGAGTGTGTTGAGCTTACCAAGTGATTGAGAATTTAGATATGTACCTTGTGAGGTCCCTAGAGTCCAAAGGTCCCAGCTTTATCCAACTAATAGAAGAATTTTTATGATTAAGACCCTAAACGGAACTTGTTTTGGCATTTCAAACCTTAAGTGCCATGCATGGACGTAAAGCTTGTAGCTTTACGTGGTATCTCATCCTTAGGAGGCTAGATCTAGAGTTTGGGGTTGTAAATCAGCCTTAAAACATCTGAATGAGAAAATAGTCGGAAAGGACTCGACGAGTCGACGAGCTGACCTGGTGAGTCTGCTAGGGTTTTCCCTGACGAGTCTAGACATGAGTAACTCAGTGAGTTGATAAGACAACTCGACGAGTTAAGTTGGATTTTCTCTACATTTATGAAGAAACGAGGGGACTCGACGAGTCACATAAATGCACTCGAAAAGTGGAGTATCGGACGTTTTCCCCGAGGAGTTACCGGGTGTGCTTCCCGAGAGGGAAGTGGAGTTCCGGATTGATTTAGTTTCGAGTGCGGTGCCTATTGCCAAGGCACCTTATCGCCTTGTGCTGCCTGAGATGCTGGAGTTATCCTTGCAGATCCTGGAGCTACTGGGGAAGGGTTTTATCAGACCGAGTAGCTCGCCGTGGGGAGCACCAATACTTTTTGTCAAGAAAAGGGTCGTTCACATTAGATGTGTATTGATTACCGAGAGTTGAGCAAATTGACGGTCAAGAACTGTTATCCGCTACCGAGGATCGACGATTTATTCGATCAGTAGTAGGGCGCATCTTGGTTTTCTAAGATCGAATTGAGGTTTGGATGTCATCAGATGAGAGTTTGCAAGGAGGATATTCAGAAGACGGCCTTCAGAATTCGTTATGAGCATTACGAGTTTGTGGTGATGCCTTTCAAACTCAAAACGCATCGACAACGTTCATGGATCTCATGAACCGGGTGTGTAGGCCCATGTTGGATCGATTGGTGATCGTGTTTATCGATGATATTCTAGTGTACTCGAGGTCCAAAGAGCAGAAAGAGGAGCATCTTTGAGAGATCCTTGGAGTATTAAGGATGAAGAGGCTTTATGCCAAATTCTCTAAGTGTGATTTTTGGTTACGAGAGGTCCACTTCCTAGGACACCTCATTAATCAGAATGGGATATTGGTATACCCGGACAATATTGAGGAAGTTATGAGTTGGGAGGTGCCGAGATCCCCGTCCGAGATCAGGAGTTTTCTGGATTTGGCTGACTACTATCGGAGGTTTATCAGAGATTTCTTCAAGATTGTCGTTCCTCTCACCAGATTGACCCGAAAGGGTGTTACTTTTACCTGGGGGCCCGAGC